AATGAAACCCTCAGGCTCATTTTTGCTTGACCACTTCCACGATATCTCCCAGTGTCGCTCTTCAGCGTTCCAGCACACCGTGCCATCACTGGTGGTAAGCACGACATTGCCTGTGTCGGCGTCCTCTGTGACTTGCACATGCCGAGGGAGCTTAGTCGGTGTAGGTACAGCTCCGACAACGTCAGGTGCGCGTTTACCCGACTTCTCCTGGGCCGGGCCGATCACCACACCAGCTAGCCTTCCGTCATCGTATTCCATATGCAGACCCCCACACATTGTCACGAAGTCTGAGCCGATCAGCACGTCAGCCGACACAACGTTCAGGTCAGGAAGCACAACAGCGGACATAGTTGACTCAGGAATTGACACAGGACCATCATCACGCTTGTACTGCAGTTCCACCACGCCACGTGTAGTCAGCTGCTCTCCGTCCAAGGCAACAATTCCTTTGCCCAGACTCTCAGTAACAGGGACACCCAAACTGTCAACAAGTGCTTCGCTAATGAGCGTGCGACAGGAGCCAGTATCGATGATGGCTTGCACGCGCCTCCACACATCCCTGTCAGGTACAGCCACGTCTACAAACACACGAGGCAAACCAGGTCGCGTGGTGGTTACCGTAGCTAGGAGACATGGATCGGCGATCTCCACAGCCGCTCCGGCCACGCCTTTGCCTCTCTTCTGGTCTCGGAGCCATTGCTTTTTGAGCTCACAGTCCTGTTGATAATGACCCGGTTGCTCACAGAAGAAACATGTAACATTTCGTGGCCCTGATGACTTCTGCTGGCCACCACCATATCCGCCGCCGCCACCGCCGTAGCCACCGCCGCCACCACCGCCGTAGCCACCGCCACGTCCTTCCGGGCAATGTTTCCGTATATGCCCAGGTTCACCACACTTATGACAGACAATATGGGACTTCTTCCCACCGGAAGGGCCAGACACCACTGCACCAGCAATACCTGGCCTTGCTGACACAATCTTGCGCAGTGCTCTCAACTTCTCCACACAGTCGGACACACGTAAGTCTTTCCCAGCACTTGACAGGCGGATCTCCTTGGCAAAATCAAAAGGGAGACCAGCCAGCAGCTGCTCAATAACGACAGAATCGTCATCACCTGTCAGCTTGTGACCTGATGCAGCCAGCAGCCGCTGCAAATCAGACACGTACGCGTCAGGACTTTCATCAGAAAGGAACCGGCGGGACGTAAATTTTTCGTACGCATCACTTCCTGTCACGCCGAACGACTTTTGCAGCAAAGCGGACACCTTATCCTCGTCCTTCTTATCCGCAGCCTCCATTCTACTAAACACGAGCAGCGCATCTCCTTCCAAAAACAGAGGCAGTCTCTGCATGCGCTTATCAGCCGTGTCCCAACCATTCACCTCCGACAGCACAGAGTACTTCAACCAAAAGTCATCAAAGCTGTCACCTGCCTTCCCACCGAAGGACTTCATCAAGCCGTCCAGCTTCAGGCCAGACATGGCTTCAGGTTCAGAAGCAACGCCAACTGCTTCACTGTCCGATACAGGCAAGGCCTCAACCTCTCCTTGTCTCGCTCTCTGTCCCGTACGACGACGACGAGGCATACACTAAAACTGACGTCTACGCACAAACAATTCCCGGGTTTCGGCACCACGCTGCTAGAAAATTACCCCCACAACCGGTCTCAGGCATACCACGGCCAAAACACCACACAGGTCTGGACAAGTAATTATACTAACTGGAAGGTTATTGTTTGTGCTAATACATACGACAGTACAACAAGAGAGAGAACTTTGTTCACAAAACCATCGCCATCGGAACACACCAGAACTCCTGTAAAAAGAGCAGCGTGTCTCCGAAAGGAACTGGAGCATGCATGCGTACCACAGCAAGCGCAAACAGCTGCACAGCATACATGCATGCGTACAAGAAAGCCGCATCCACCGGATGAATCACGCACATGAATCACATGACAGGCAACAAGAGGTAAGAAGTAATGTCAACTACACAAGACAGAGTCATACAAGAGAAAGTCATAGTTCGATTACAACCAGCGAGGAACGAAACGGCCCCAATAATTCCGTGTTTTGTGTTGCACTTGTGACGACAGTATTACACAGTGAACAGATGTGCTCGGACAGCCGACGACGTATATCATCGTTGGCCTCGTCGGTCTCCAGTCACGAACACATCGGCGCAGTTTTTCACGAATCTGTCCCGTCCACCAGTATGCAGAACAATAAAGCGCTTGCCTTTACCTGATGGTGCTTCATTTGGTTGCTTGGTATACTCCTGTCACCATTGTCGTACCACCTCCTAGTAACTGTGTGACGCGCATTGACCCACGTCTCATCCAGGTATGTCTCACAGGTAGCGATGCCGCCATGACACAATCCTGTGCTGTTCCATCATTATTTGTGTGATACCTCTGGTCTTGCCACACTGGAATCCCATGGAACGCAACATTATCCAAGAGCTAGTTTTGCTCATGTCTGGAAAATCGTCGATGGTTTCTCTGCAGCGAGCAGGAACTTTGTCTAGTGTTGGGTCCTCCTTCGCAGCATAGAATCCGTAAATTACTTCTTATACAGTCCAAAGCAAATCCGTCAGGGTTGAGTGGTTTCATGGCACGAGTCTCACATCGGGGATTGTCACTCTCGTTGCCTTCATCACTGGAGACAGACAAGGCCAACGCAGCACGCTGATTTTCGCCGTCAGCATCCCTGGTACATCTGTTCATGGTGGAAATGCTGACGCAACAGCAGCATGACGAATGGAATACTTGGGACCAATTCGATGCCCAGCCATTGTTCTCCTCGTCTTCGCAAAAAATTGTAAAACAGACACCACCATGTACCATGGCCCGTTCGCGTTTTGTTATAATTATGTGGCATGTCGAGAGAACAAGTTGCCACGAACGAAAAGACACTCGAGAAAAAGCAAAATAGGGCCACAGAGCAGTCAGCAACAAAAATGATTCCTCCGGCCACGAGGCAAGGAGCTCGAATGACACTCTGAACAAGATGGCGAAATGCCACGAGTCACACCTGGTTTTTCGAATTTCGCGCGCAGATTTTCGTGACGCAACTCGCATGACATTTTCTCAAAAGTGTCCTTGAGTACGTTCTCAAGGTTTTCAGAGTCTATTATAAAAAAACGCACTGTAGGTAGATCCTGCTATCACAGGACTATCAGGCAGCAGTTGTCTTATTCTGGGACGTGACAGATCTACTCGGATCTACTCGGATCTACTCGGATCTACTCGGATCTACTCGGATCTACTCGGATCTACTCGGATCTACTCGGATCTACTCGGATCTACTCGGATCTACTCGGATCTACTCGGATCTACTCGGATCTACTCGGATCTACTCGGATCTACTCGGATCTACTCGGATCTACTCGGATCTACTCGGATCTACTCGGATCTACTCGGATCTACTCGGATCTACTCGGATCTACTCGGATCTACTCGGATCTACTCGGATCTACTCGGATCTACTCGGATCTACTCGGATCTACTCGGATCTACTCGGATCTACTCGGATCTACTCGGATCTACTCGGATCTACTCGGATCTACTCGGATCTACTCGGATCTACTCGGATCTACTCGGATCTACTCGGATCTACTCGGATCTACTCGGATCTACTCGGATCTACTCGGATCTACTCGGATCTACTCGGATCTACTCGGATCTACTCGGATCTACTCGGATCTACTCGGATCTACTCGGATCTACTCGGATCTACTCGGATCTACTCGGATCTACTCGGATCTACTCGGATCTACTCGGATCTACTCGGATCTACTCGGATCTACTCGGATCTACTCGGATCTACTCGGATCTACTCGGATCTACTCGGATCTACTCGGATCTACTCGGATCTACTCGGATCTACTCGGATCTACTCGGATCTACTCGGATCTACTCGGATCTACTCGGATCTACTCGGATCTACTCGGATCTACTCGGATCTACTCGGATCTACTCGGATCTACTCGGATCTACTCGGATCTACTCGGATCTACTCGGATCTACTCGGATCTACTCGGATCTACTCGGATCTACTCGGATCTACTCGGATCTACTCGGATCTACTCGGATCTACTCGGATCTACTCGGATCTACTCGGATCTACTCGGATCTACTCGGATCTACTCGGATCTACTCGGATCTACTCGGATCTACTCGGATCTACTCGGATCTACTCGGATCTACTCGGATCTACTCGGATCTACTCGGATCTACTCGGATCTACTCGGATCTACTCGGATCTACTCGGATCTACTCGGATCTACTCGGATCTACTCGGATCTACTCGGATCTACTCGGATCTACTCGGATCTACTCGGATCTACTCGGATCTACTCGGATCTACTCGGATCTACTCGGATCTACTCGGATCTACTCGGATCTACTCGGATCTACTCGGATCTACTCGGATCTACTCGGATCTACTCGGATCTACTCGGATCTACTCGGATCTACTCGGATCTACACGGATCTACACGGATCTACACTGATCTACACGGCTCTACACTGATCTACACTGATCTACACTGATCTACACTGATCTGCCCGTATAACCATTCAAAGAGGGTCAAGTAACTTGTAATCCGCAGTCTGATATCTTGTTCTATATCAAGATCAGCATCTGCTCCAGTAATCTCTTGCTGGGATTGCATGCGCAAGGCATGCGTACGTGATTGTGCACGACTGTCAAATATCAACACAGTGTCCAGAACACAAGGCATGGACAGTTCACATCCCCAGAAGCAGCAATGCCAGGTACTGTACTTGTTACAGTTGTCAAGGGCTAAGGTTAGCATTGGCGTAGAGCCCGGGGTGGTTGAATATGATATGCTGGAACAATGAAGGCAGTGACTCAGCTACATAACAGCCAGTGCCACTCTCCCCTGCCGACACATACACTGAGGCTTACCCCCACCACCACCACCACCACCACCACCACACACACATGCACGCACACACATAGACCCCGGTACTTACATTAGATACAGCCAATATGATTGGTGGGTCATAGTTTTCTAGTTTTACACTGTTTGGTTGTCTGTTTTTGAATTCAGATCGTGATGTGAAGAATTGGAATACTGCAGAAAGCAAGAAGAAGAGCACACAACACACAATACAAAGACGGCACAACACACATGCAACACTTGACAAGCAATGATGGTAAGACCTGACAGGTGTATGTATATGTATAATGTGCATGGCGTGTGTGTGTGTGTGTGGTGTGTGCGTGTGTGTGTGTGTGTGTGTGTGTGTGTGTGTGTGTGTGTGTGTGTGTGTGTGTGTGTGTGTATGGCGTGTGTGTGTGTGGTGTGTGCGTGTGTGTGTATGTGTGTGTGTGTGTGTGTGTGTGTGTGTGTGTGTGTGTGTGTGTGTGTGTGTGTGTGTGTGTGTATGGCGTGTGTGTGTGTGTGTGTGTGTGTGTGTATGTGTGTGTGTGTGTATGTGTGTGTGTGTGGTGTGGGACCAGCTCAAGGCTGTACCATATGCAGCGCCACCAAACAATCTAAAAGCAAACATCTGTTCCAGACACCCACTGTCACTCAGTACGTAATAATATTTTCCTCATGATGTACTGTACATGGCTCTCTGTAGAAACCGGAAACCGGAAAGGCACTTTTTGGACCATTTATTGGACAAAGGTGTGTGTTCGGATATAAAATATAGAAGGACTTGGCAGCACTGCACATGGCTGGCAAATTACGAACTGCATGGACTCCATGCTTTGATGATAAACATACATGTCGGCCGGTAAGACAAGCCAGTAAACTCCATACTCAGTGACTGCAGGCTATGTAAAACAAGGTAAACTCCATACTCAGTGACTGCAGGCTATGTAAGACAAGGTAAACTCCATACTCAGTGACTGCAGGCTATGTAAGACAAGGTAAACTCCATACTCAGTGACTGCAGGCTATGTAAGACAAGGTAAACTCCATACTCAGTGACTGCAGGCTATGTAAGACAAGGTAAACTCCATACTCAGTGACTGCAGGCTATGTAAGACAAGCCAGTAAACTCCATACTCAGTGACTGCAGGCTATGTAAGACAAGGTAAACTCCATACTCAGTGACTGCAGGCTATGTAAGACAAGGTAAACTCCATACTCAGTGACTGCAGGCTATGTAAGACAAGGTAAACTCCATACTCAGTGACTGCAGGCTATGTAAGACAAGGTAAACTCCATACTCAGTGACTGCAGGCTATGTAAGACAAGGTAAACTCCATACTCAGTGACTGCAGGCTATGTAAGAGACAGTGTTGAACACCAAGTCCAGGTCAGCCTGGATTGTGTATGGACAAGACACTGCACATGTACATCATGAATGAAAAGGAGGTCTTGTGCAGTGCCCTCACCCATGTACAGGATTAGCTAGCCAACTGAAAGCCAGTGATAGTGAACTAAACTCGCCGGAACCCATCCGGTTGGTCAGGTCATTACCGGAATCAAACTGTTAGCCGACAACACGTGTTAACTGCTGAGGAGATCATGGGTACCGCCATATCATGCACAAAGTATGAAAGATGATGGTATGGTCGGACCACTCAACACCTGCTTCCAGCTGTCCTGGGAACTACTTCCAAGTACAGTCAGACCTCCGGATAGGCGAGGGAACCGGATAATCGAACACACATTCTGTATGTATGCATGACATATGCTGTAAATCGGTAACCAACAATTTTCTTCCGGATGGCGAGGGATTCGGATAAAAGATGACCGGATAAGCGAGGTCCGACTGTACGTGTATCCATAACCAGGAGCGGCGGAAGCAGTTTTTGATTGTTGCGGCCATGCCATAGCCTTTCATCATGACTGGTGCGTGATACGGCGGGTCCACAACCGGACTGGTTCCGGCGGGTCTAGTGCTAATGCTAATGTACAGTGATGAATTTCTAGCCATCACAATTGGCCACTGGCCCCTGTATACCTTACACGCAGCTATCAGTAAAGTCGAGAGATACAGTACATACCTTGTGTACAGCTGTATGAAATGGACAGAAGCTGTATTACACAGAATGCGTAGATTTCAACAATATTCTCACTGTACAGCTGCAATAGGCAAACAGACACACACACACACACACACACACACACACACACACACACACACACACATACACACACACACACACACACACACACACACACACACATACACACACACACACATGCGCACACACGTACATGCACATACACAAACAAACAAACACACACGCACACCGTCCGTGACACAAATACGGATATTGGTTGGTACACAGCATACACTCAGTGTAACATTTCACAATCTCACTTCACCGTGAATGCACTTGAAGTGACCTATGATGACTCATGAAACACGCTTCAGTGATGCTGGTAGTCGTGATGTGTTTCTATAGGTGTGTGGGGGGGGGGGCACAGTGACATGGGTGCGAAAGGAATAAGGAAACTAATTACTTGGTTTGTAAACGATAGGAATCCATTCTAAAGAAGAGTTCTTACCGCCCATACAACCAGGACAATGACGTAGACCATGGCTGATATGAACAGTATAGCATAGATCTTGCGGTCAAAACCAAGACCCTGCAGAACAATTATAGTGTACACACACACACACGTACATACACACATACACATACACAGGCATCATCATCATCATCAGACACACATACACACATACACACATACAGTAGTAGTAGTAGTGGTAGTATGAGCAACTGCGGCATAACTCCAAACCAGCATAGCACATACACAGCTGTGCATTGCATGCAGGCCTAGCCATACATGCACATGCACATGCGCACACACACACACATACACACACACACACACACATACACACACACACACACACACACATACACACACACACACACACATACACACGCACACACATACACACACACATACACACACACACACACACACACACACACACACACACACACACACACACACACACACACACACACACACACACACACATGAATCAATGTACTGGAACATTACCGTGAATACCATGACCTGATTGTGCTACAAGTAGATAATCATTGTCAGTTCCACTGTCATACTCACCCCTTCACAATCTGCTGAGAAATCACCTAGACCAAGGATAGCACTTTGAAATGCTACTACTGCACAAGCTGTAGGCAAGTAAGCATTCACAAAAGCAAGACGTTGTTCATACATCCACATACACACATCAATACCGGCACACACATACACATACACATACACCCGCCCACCCACGCACGCACACACACACACACACATACACCAACACACACCAACACCAACACACACCAAAACACACATGCAAAGTTAGAGTCAAAGATTCAATATATGACCCTACCACGTTAGTCAGGTTTGTAGGCCGCAGGTTGTAGCAGGGATGGTTGCCACCGTTGGGTTAGTTTGTGCATAGTTCACCATGTCACTGTGTGTAAATCTGTATCACTGCGGCACTACACCGTAGTGACATGGAGTATGTACACTATGCAGATCACAGTGTAGCTGTGTCTATTGTCAGGTTTTACCGTCAACTGTTGCAGTGTTGGCAATGTACCATCACAGTACTGTGTAATAGTCTAGTCTTTACTGCCTACATCTGATGATGTACATGCTACATGCTACATTAGTAGGCATAGGGTGTTGGTAAGTGCAATCATGGATTGCAGCGAAGTTGGTCACTGTGATTTAGAAAGTTTTACCATCCCAATCTATGGTGTGTAAGGGTGCAGCCAAAACTTGAAGGGAGGAGGGGCAGGAGGGGGTAGGATGAGGGGGCAGGGGCAGGTGGGGTAGGAGGAGGGGGCAGGGGGGCGGGGCAGGAGCACCACACTACGTTATGAGGCTTTGACTACAGTGCTGTGTTCAGCATGATGTGGGGACAGTCCCAACATACATCACAGTGACACTTGCTGGCACAGAACAAGTTACTTCAGTTCATAGCTCAGTCTGGCTCTTGGGTAGAATATTTCCCAAGACTCTACAGTACCATCCATGGCATGACACACTGCAGTCTACCATCCACCCCATGGTGCCAGCCACCCTATGACACACTGCAGTCTACCAACCACCCCATGGTAATACCAGCCACCCTATGACACACTGCAGTCTACCATCCACCCTATGACACACTGCAGTCTACGATCCACCCCATGGTGCCAGCCACCCTATGACACATTCCAGTCTACCAACCATCCCATGGTAATACCAGCCACCCTATGACACACTGCAGTCTACCATCCACCCTATGACACATTGCAGTCTACCAACCACCCCATGGTAATACCAGCCACCCTATGACACACTGCAGTCTACCATCCACCCTATGACACACTGCAGTCTACCATCCACCCCATGGTACTGGTACCATCCACCCTATAGTATGACCAAGAGACACTATTCTACCATGAACCCTATGAGACACTCCAGTCTACCATCCTCTAAAGCCTCTATCCTCCACTACATCATAGTACATGTACATGGTTTACAGGCATCCACCTCAGCTCAGGCCTCAGTACCGTCATGAAATGACAGGACCACAATGACACACTCAACCGGTGAGAGGCACTTAGACCCGATCAACAGAGCAGGAAATAGCACAGGGTCACAGGTCACTGTGTGCAGTGTGCAAGTGTTGGCATCAATGGGATGATCCACACAGGTATGACAGCTATGACCAGTACAGTATGACCAGTACTGCATGTCACAGTATGACAGCATTGCTCTACACTACTAGTATACTGCAGACTAGTACATTGTATTGTCATAATGCAGACTTTGCAGTCACATTTTTCAATAAGACAGTCATTTCTCCAACGGAACCCTATCCAGCAGCAAATTAAATTTCACGTTCCCCAAATCTACCTGACCCCCCTATCCAGCAGCAAATTAAATTTCACGTTCCCCAAATCTACCTGACATCCACCGCACTGAAGTAAAAGAGAGTATTTTTTTCTCTCTGTGGGGGGGGGGGTAATACAGTGGCCTTTAATACACTCTAATACACTCTTTTCCTAATTACAGCCATGTAGATCCTAAGCTGTAGACTTGCACTGTCTCTAGTAGTCACAGATATGTATGTTACTGTACTTCCAGCTACCAAACACGGCCATGAGAAGAAAATAATCAGCCTTTATAAACTTAATTACTGTGTGTAATTACTGGTCTTAGTGCACCAACCACTCCATCAACACATCACTGAGTCATGTACCATTATAGGTAGCTGAATCTCAACCAACAACTACATAACATTGTACTCATGATGATTATGCTGCAGATGTCCTGTTAGAAGTGGACATCATTGGAGTGGATGATTGTGAAGTGGGGCTTATTATCTGCACTCCCCCCCCCCCCAACACACACACACACACACAAACACACACACACACACACACACACAAACACACACACACACACACACACACACGGGACACACATAACTCACACTGTCTCCCAAATGGTGGTGTTGTAGCCATACTTAAAAACTACATACGTATATTCTCTATTATAAGCGCTGTGCTTATATTTTTTCAACACCCCTCTACCCCGTGCTTATATTGGAGACCGCGCTTATATTGGTGACCGTGCTTATATTTTTTCAACCAATAACTCCATACAGAGCAAGAAGAAATACATGCTAGATATCATGCATGCAGCATTGATTTCCACCAAGACCGTGCTAATAATAGAGACTGTGCTTATAATGTTTCAAAAGGTGCTCACAGTGTGCTAGTATTAGAGACTGTGCTAGTAATGGAGACCTGTGCTTATAATAGAGAATATACGGTATTTTGCGTCTTCTCCTTGTCTTCTGCCAGTCAGTGGAAACATACTACAGTAGATGCCACAATGCCAGTACAGTATACCTTACCTAAACACAACACCATGTGTCCGCATTCCTCACCCATTACGTGTCTTGGATATCCTCTGCATATTACCAACTCCCTCAAGAGTAGCCGGCCATACCTCAGTGAGGGTGCAGGTACAGGAGAACACTCCCATCAGTCCTCTGGGATGGGATCACAGTCTCACAGACCTGCTCTAATCCTTGTCCCAAGTACTAGTCCTACTTGCATAGTCTCACACTGTCCTACTTACTAATACTTACCAGTAAGTACTAGCCATACGTCATGTACAGACCATGATAGCATTATAGGCCTCCTGCACTGGTTATGCCCAGGGTATCATGCTGCATAAGTAACATACACACGGTGTGTCCCCAAGGCACGGCACAGAGCCTTTGCACAACATACCATGTACATGTGTTGCCAAGGCAGCATAGCACAAAGTCACACGAGCCTTAAACAACAACTGCCATCACCACTACTGCCATCACCGCTAGGCACTACTGCCATCACTTTACTTCTAAATCCTGACATTGTGTCCATGTTTACTTCAGAATTTACCTAATTGCAGCACAGGTACGAACAAGCTGACGAGTACGAGCCCAGTCCGAAAACAGGCCTGTTTCAAAAGATACAGGCTATGCATGTTGAGCTACGATAGAAAAGAGAACTACTGGCCTATAGTGGTTAGTGGCTGGAGATCATCTTTATTATACTCCAGCGCAATGTATGGTGGCTAAATCTCGTAGAACATAACAGATACAATTTCGTTTCCGACCAAGTCTTGTTATTTGTATAGACTACATGTACCATAATTATCTTAAAGGGGAAGTTAAGGCAAAAATTAAAATTTCACCAGTTGTAGTCTTCGGGGTGCTGAGTCGAATGGTCGTGGTCCGAGGAAGCTGAGACGCTCCCTTCCTACTTGAATCCCAATCGAACTCGCGCACTTCCACCGAAACTGGGTGACTGCGCCCTACTAGATGGGGATTTGTATGCAAAATGTCACTAAAAGCGCCATTTAGTTCTTATAAAAGCACGGATGACCGCGATTGGCCCATATGTTGTAGTCTTTTGGACGCTGAGTCGACTGGTTTTGGTCCGAAAAGGCTGCGATGCAGCGTTCCTCCTTTATTCCCAATCGAACATGGTTGAAGAAGCGGTCACGTGCTCCTGCGTACACCAGTCACCTGGTCACCGTGCCTGCAGGGTACAACTTACTAGCCTGTTTGACCTTTTTTGGGTGCAGTCCTGTCACTCGAGTTGAACTCGAGTTGAACCTTGGTGTGAAAGTTGTCACCTGCTGGCGTGGTGACCAGGTGATTTGGACACCCAGGACCACGTGACCACTTCTTCAACCATGTTCGATTGGGAATAAAGGAGGAACGCTGCATCGCAGCCTTTTCGGACCAAAACCAGTCGACTCAGCGTCCAAAAGACTACAACATACGGGCCAATCGCGGTCATCCGTGCTTTTATAAGAACGAAATGGCGCTTTTAGTGACATTTTGCATACAAATCCCCATCTAGTAGGGCGCAGTCACCCAGTTTCGGTGGAAGTGCGCGAGTTCGATTGGGATTCAAGTAGGAAGGGAGCGTCTCAGCTTCCTCGGACCACGACCATTCGACTCAGCACCCCGAAGACTACAACTGGTGAAATTTTAATTTTTGCCTTAACTTCCCCTTTAAATCTTCACAACACCGAAATATGGACATCTATGCAACAGGCAAACTCTGATTGCGCATCTGCTGCCACTGCGTTGACCAAGACACAAGAAGTCATGATGCTAGGCTACTGATGGTGCTAATAATTATGTACCACCCCGTACTCATGATGGTTAAGTTAACACATCGAGGAGCGATGACGTACTGTACACATCTGTCTACACGACACCAGTTTTTTTGAAAATTCCTCTCCGTGCACACACACACACACACACACGCACAGCCTTTGTTATACAGACGTGCAGCCTCTCCCATGTTGTAGGCATAATCATTTATAGTCTCTGCAAGTTCACACCCAGTACTAAACATTTCTAAATACCGAAGTCATAAATGTGTCATACCTCCTATTTCAGTCGTACGCAATATGCCACTTGTGGGATGCTCGCCGACCAGAGATTTTCACTCCACCCTTACCTTGCCCCCTGTAGGCTGTAACCCAGCATCATGTTTTCACCTGAAGTGACCAAGTGACCAAGGGCTGCATGTAATTTTCTAAGACAGATACTGCTGATTGGGTGTCCTGACAGATTTGGTCGGCACGACAGCAGCAGTTACATGTATTTCCTCAACACCGTCCACCAATCGATCTGACAGTGATATTGTGCAGATTGCACCAAGACCACATTGATTGTGTGTGGTAGTACATTGTAATCATCACTCCCATGCATGTCCACATTGGACCCCAGACAGGGCTACCTCCTGGTGGGTGTTCATGTACCAAAAATGTACCACTACTACTACTACACGAGTACACGACTTCGTAACAGCAAAACTGATGGTGGTTGCAAGTCAAACATCTACCAGTTCCATACGAACGCGATGCGGACGTGGAAATGGTTATCTATCTGGCCTGGGTGCGCGTAACTGAACGTGTACGCATAACGACCTGAAGGCTAAAACTATTTTGGAGTATTTCATTCGCTGGCTCAATGTTTGTAAAAACAGACACGGTGACTGAACATAATTGGTTGGTACTCTGGACTAACCGTGAAATACTGCTGCGCTGATGAAAAATCGCGACAGGCTCGACATCTTCTTGCGAGCAGCTCTCGTCTCGGTGGAGTCTTTCTCGTCATCGCTATCCTCATGATCGTCACCGTCGTGCAGTACGGTGCGTCCAGCTACGTGCGCTGTAGCAGAGCTTCCATTCTGCTGAGTTTGAACGCTAGAGGCAGTCATTGCGTCAAGACCGGATCAGTTGGATGGATATTCTGGTTTTCTGGCAGCGCATAAACTGCCAACCACTGGCAACAGAGTCAGGATTGGAGACGAGGTTGAATCAAAGACCGGTCAGAAGAGGACTTTCAGTTCACAGTACCTCCACAACTCGGTACTCGGTGGAGATTCAGAGTAGTCTGCGAGACAACGATCACAAGTGTCCACCCTGTTCGGAGCTCGGACACTTGCATGCACTAGGTGAGTGTGACACAAGCCGAAATACTCGTGATGACTGATGCCAAAATCGGCAATGGGTTTTCTCGGCCAAGTGGCCACATACTTGTACCAAGTCTTGTAGTTCTACAACAATGTCATGTAGATCTGCCGTGTGTGGTGTGCACATGTGGTGAATAAAGATGACATTCACAGACTCAGTACATGTATAATAGAGTCTACGCACGCGAGGCCGAGCCGCGAGGGATCCGGAGACACTTGTAAAATGCAGAAATCAGGATGCATGATTTACGCCACGCTGAAACACCGTCACTTGGATCACCACTGACACCACCCACTACCCTAGTCCTGTCGTACAGACTCCATGCGCATGCACAGACAGTATCAGCCAGACTTTGACTTGGACGCTGGAGTGTCTTTGGAGTGTACAGACAGTCAGTTCCGTTCATCATGAGCAAAGACCATGAAGACTAAGTGAGTATACCATGTATACATACTGCAACTAAGTAGTTACTTCGGATCTGCATGACTGCATGCTGTAGCATGTACAGGTGAAATCCTGATAATTCGAACCTCAAAATGCCAGGAAAACTAATTTATATCCGGACATTCTAAATTCTAATTATCCAAACATGAACCCACAACACAATATGTATGTCAAAATGCTCTCACGGTCACGCAGAGTTGCGCTATGGACCTTAGACACAAATTTTACGGACACTGAACTGACTGGCACAGCCTGCTCGTGCAAACTGAATTGACCAGTACAGTGTTTAGTGCTTCGCTAGATTCAACTCAGCCGTGCAACGGGTCGTGGAACACAACGTTTTATTACAACTAAGAAAGCACTAATTCAAGTTGAGTCGGGATGTAAAAGATTACGATTGATCTGAATAATATGCAAGCGAATGCAGCTTATATAGGGTAGAGAGAGAAGCGTTAGCCATTGTGCGTTGCGGTAGAAAGTGCAAGAAGGAAACGGATGTGGTCATGAGAATTGCAATTGCTGATGTAAGTACAAAGCAGTATTGCATCATGTAGGTGCAATCAGTATTGCATCATGACATGCAAGAGAGAAAGAACATGGAAAAACGTCATACGCTCGATGTGGCAAATGGGTAATGTGTAAGTGATGTAATCACTACGTAATCAAAAGGGAAGTAACTAGAATTTGCCTATGCAATCATTGCGTAATGTCACGTGTGCATGGACTGTAGAATGTTCGTGAATATGCACTACAGAGCTCCCCACCTAGTGGATTTCCGGGGGAAATGCACGATATGAAAATGACATGCGCAATGGTTCAAGTCAAGGTAATGTAACCTACAATATCTGAATGGAATGTAACACGAGAGTGGCTCAATAGTATGAGGGAAAGCGCACTTGACGACCGGAGCAGGTCTGTCGTGGTGGGAGGACATCATGAGCGAGAGACGGCGTCGGGGCAGGACGAGCCGATGCATCTTCTTCACCATCGATGTAGGCTGGCTTCAGACGGTCAATAGAGACAGCGTCTGTGCGGCCGTTGAGGTCGATGGTGAAGTGTTTGTCCGTACGACGGAGAACCTTGTGGGGGCCAGAATATGGACGTTGTAGCGGTGTGCGAACGGAGTCCTGGCGAAGGAACACATGGCTGCAGGTGGCGAGGTCGGCAGGAACAAATACGGATCGGCCAGATGGGTGGCGGGGCTGTGTAGGGCGGAGTTCAGCCATGGCTTGCTTCAGCCGACTAACATAGGATGTGGGATCTGGAAACTGCTCATGTGTCTCGATGAACAGATCGCTGGGTAGACGGAGTTGACAACCGTAGACTAGTTCAGCAACCGAACAGTTTAGATCAGCCTTGAGGGAAGAACGAATTCCCAGTAGAATCAGCGGTAGATGTTCGGTCCAGCGGCGGGGGTTGTCTGAAGAACGTATGGCGGCTTTCAGCTGTCGGTGAAAGCGTTCAACCAACCCGTTAGCGGCAGGATGGTAGGCGGTTGTACGGATGCGGGACGTACCCAGGAGAGACATCAGCGAGGACCACAGGGACGATTCGAACTGGGAACCACGGTCGGTAGTTAGAAGAGTCGGTACACCATAGCGGGAAACCCAGGAACTCACGAAGTGGCGAGCGACGGTCTCGGCGGTGATGTCGGGTATGGGAATGGCCTCGGGCCAACGAGTGAAACGGTCGACCATTGTTAGGAGGTACGAGAACTCGTTAGACGGTGGAAGCGGTCCCACAATATCGATGTGGACGTGCGAGAATCGGGCATCTGGTTTTCGGAACTTGGCGAGTGGAGTGGTCGTGTGTCGGTGGACTTTGGTTTGTTGGCAAGCGATACAGGAGCGGCACCACGCAGCGATGTCTTTGTTCATTGACGGCCAAACGTAGCGGCTGGTGATGAGCTGCCGGGTGGTCCGGTGTCCGGGGTGAGAGAGGTTGTGGAGTGAGTCGAAGATACCTCGACTGAACTGTCTTGGGACGAATGGACGAGCGGAGCCAGTGGAGATATCACACGTCATCGGTGTGTTAACCATGGGAAACTGGATGTCTTTGAAGACGAGTGATGTTGACGGAGGGACAGTGTGACGGAGCTTGGAGAGTTCCTTGTCGGCCCGTTGAGCGAGGGCGAGGCTGCCGAAGTCCAGGCTGGCAATGGTTGCGATGGCGTCATCGGGTAGGTCACAACGCGAGAGTGCGTCAGCTGCAGCGTTTTCCTTACCAGGGACGTATCGCAGATCAGTGGTAAACTCGGCAATGTAGCTGAGGTGTCGTTGCTGGCGAGGACTGTGTTGTTGCGAGTGGCTTCGGATAGCGTGGATCAGTGGCTTATGGTCGGTGCAGACGTGGAACGGACGGCCTTCCAGGAAATGACGGAAGTGTTTGATGGCGAGGTATATGGCTAGTAATTCTCGGCAGAACGTACTATAGCGGGTCTCGGCCGGCTTTAGCTTGCGTGAGAAGAACGAGACAGGCAGGGACTCACCGTTGATGTGTTGTTGTAGAACAGCGCCGACGGCAACATTGGATGCATCAACCATCATGCTGTAGGCAGCGTCAGGGCTAGGGTGGTAGAGGGTGACTTCGTGGACTAAGGCGCTGCGGGTCGAATCAAAGGCCTCGCGTGCCTCATCCGTCCACTCAAGCGGGCCCTTGCTCTTCGGCCGGCCTTGTAACATGGCGTTGAGTGGTGCAAGGCGGGTTGCGAGGTTGCGCTGGAACCGGTGGTAGAAGTTGACCAGGCCTAGGAATTCTCGTAGCTTACGGACACTGGTCGGTAGCGGAAACTCCTTGATAGCTTGGACTCGGGTCGTTAGGGGTTGAATACCGGTGGCATCAACGTGGTGGCCCAGAAAGTCTAGTTCGGATACGCCAAACCGTGACTTCTGTACGTTGATGATGATACCGTGATCAACTAGGCGTTGGAACAGGCAGCGGAGGTGGCGTTCATGTTCAGCGGGGCTAGCACTAGCGACTAAGAGATCATCAATGTATGCAAAGCAAAATGGAAGGTCGGCAGTGATCTGACCAATGAAGCGTTGAAAGGTTTGGGCAGCGTTGCGTAAACCAAAGGGCATTCGGACAAACTCAAATAGGCCAAAAGGTGTGGTAATGGCAGTCTTGGGGATATCATCAGGATGGACTGGGATTTGGTGTTATGCTCGGACTAAATCTATCTTGGAGAAGATGGTCGTGCCATGCAAATGGGAAGTGAAGTCTTGCAGATGAGGAATGGGGTAGCGATCGGGGACTGTACAGTTATTCAAGGCTCGGTAGTCGCCGCAAGGGCGCCAGTCACCAGAGGGTTTCGGGACCATATGCAGCGGGGAAGACCAACAGCTTGCAGACGGGCGAACAATGCCCAGTGTGAGCATGTGCTGAAATTCAGCTTTAGCAGTGGCAAGGCGATCAGGAGCTAAGCGGCGGGGTCTAGCATGCACGGGATGGCCATTAGTGACTATGCGATGGGTAACATTGTGCTTGGATGGCGACTCACCAGTAGCAGGTCGAACAAGGTCTGGAAACTCGGCCAGGAGAGACGAATATCGGTTCGGTTGATCGGTTGCGAGGAGGTTGGCTGCAGAATCCGTGACATCGGCGGCCACTCCGTTGATGCGTAGATTGGTCGAGGAGTCCTGCAGTTGTCCCGTTGCAAGATCGACAGTCAGCTTGTAGTGGCACAGGAAATCGGCTCCGAGGATAGGGTAATTGACATCGGCGACAACGAACACCCATTTGAACGACCGACGGAGACCAATGTCAAGCTCAAGGAATTGTTGACCATGCGTTTCTATAGTACTGTGATTGGCGGCACGAAGACTAGGGCTATGACAACGTTTTACAGAGGTAGCAAAGGACGGAGGAAGTACACTTACTGAGGCGCCGGTGTCGATCAGGAAATTTATTCCGTTGACACGGTCACGCATATACAGGAGGCGACCTTCAGAACTGGAGGTGGAGCCAGCCGGGCTAGTGGTCGCGATTAGCGGCTGGCGGTCCCGTTTCCCGACAGACGGCATGGAGATCGGCAACGTCGAGCTTTGTCACCAAACTTGGCGTGGAACCAGCAGACGTCGTCGCTATCGGTGTCCTCAATGCGTACGGCGCGGCTGGGAGAGCGGGAAGCGCTGCGTCCAGTGCGCCGATCCCGTGTTGGAAATCCCGCCGTTTTGATGGGGCAATCGTCACGTCCACGGGAGCGCACCTTGGTTAGCGCTTGTACAGTCAGACACAGCTTGTCCAAGTCCGAACGGAGTAGCGACAGCTGAGTCGTCGAGTCAGAGCTGGGGCTGAAACAAGTGGTAGCACTTGAGGCAGTTGAGCCGACTGCAGCAGTTTTTGAAGTGGCCTTTTCCGAAACTGCGTGTACTTGAGTGTTCGCTGATGGGACTGTAGACTCGGCCACTTTGTCAGCGAGGGCCGCTAACTCCTCCAGAGACAGAGTCGTAGGTGTAGCTGCTAGAATCTGACGGACAGCTGGGGGTAGACGTTGCACGAAGAGTTCCCGCAAGATAGAAGGGTCAAGCGATTTTCCTCCCAGTAGCTGCTGCATTCTGCGTAGGACCTTGCTGGGTTTGCTGTCACCGACGTCGGCGGTTGACAACA